ACCTGAGGGGAAAGGGCCGGAGCAAACCCAAGTCAGAGCCCAGAAACCTGATGACCAAGCAGAGAATCTCCCATCTGCACCCCAGGATGAGGGGCCACCTCCTGGGAAGGTCAAGTTGGTCCCTTTGCCTTTTCTCCCCTTGGACAAGCCTCAAGTGAGGCCTGTTCCTCACAGGCCACAGGTTCTAGCTTCCCATCACCCTTCTAGGCCTGGTTCCATCAACTCAGCTCAAACCATTACTGGTAGCCTGTCCCAGCCAACTCCTGCCAAAGTGTCTGGAGCGGGTCCTTGTGGACCAACTCGGCCAATTTGCCCGAATCAAGGCCAACCAGCAGTGACCAACCCTGCTCGGCCCAGCATCCTCCAGTCTGTTCCTCCGAAGCCTGCGGCCTACACAGCAGCATCTGGTGCTGCTCTCCAGCGAGATCCTGTGACCACTGTTGGGAGCAAGCTGCAGCCCCCACCTAAGCCTCAAAGCCAGTTCCTACTGGAAGACTTCAGCTTACAGCCCATTCCATGGAGGAAGCCCAACGTCCCCGAGCCCCTGATGTCCAAGCCCATCACCAAGGAGCAGAGGCCGGAGCGGGAGGCCATGAAGAGGCGGGCTCAACAGGAGCGGGAGGAGGCTGCCAAGTACACGGCGCTGGGCAAAGTGCGGTTTTTCGCACAGAGGGAGAAAGGCATGGAGATTTCCCGCTTTTACGGTTATGCCCTGTGATTGGAGCATGGACGGTTTAATGTCTCTTTTACTACTAACTCTTGTTTTCTTTATATAGACACATGTATAAATATTTATTTTCATTATTTAAAAATTTAATAATGAAAGCAATAGAATTCCTAGGTGACTGATAACCAAGACCATTGCTTTTCAGATGCTCTTAATGGTGTGGTTTTGATGGGTTTCTTTTTCTGTTTTGAGGGTAGAATGAAAGAATGCATTAAAGAGAAATTTTGATGTAGTATTAGAGAAAGACGATCAGAACTGAGGAAAGAATAGGGGATTTAGTCTAGTGGTGTGAAGGACAAAAAGTGAGAGGTTTTGTGAGCTGAGATTAAAGTGAAGAAAAGAAAATTCGGGCAGAACTGAAGATGACAGAGGATGGGTCTGAGTTAATCGGCAGATTTACACAAGTCTTCTGTGGATCCTGCTTTTCTGTTTCCTCGGACTCTTAGGTGTGTTGGAACAGAAGAGCAGTAAGGACACACTTGTACCAGGTTCAGGTTCCTTACACGTGGAGGGTGGATGGGGTAAAGGTGAATGTAAACAAGAGGGCTCCCTGGAGGCAAGGATGATGAAGTCCCACCTCACAGTTTAGGCCTATTATGAGGAGAGTCTATTCCCTGGAGAGGGAGAGACAGTGAAAGAGAAGAAGACCCTCAACCAGATGGAGTGACACAGTGTCTGTAAGAAAAGGCTCACCCATGTCAGAGAAAATGAGGTTGACAAAGGGTTCAGGTCTGTTGTTCACAAGGATTCTAAGAATCATACTTGATGGTATCTTACAATAACAGCTCTTTTCATTGGTGCATGGAAGCCATTCCCATTCGTTCACCTCCGCTAGGGTGGTGAGTGGCCAGGCTCAGAGCCCATCTGGGACCCAGGCCAGAACCTGCAGCAGCATGAGGCCCATCTAGAAGGGCAGGGCCTGCACTATGAAGCACCATTCACTCAACACCTCTGCCGAGAGCCTTTAGACGCCACTTCCATTCACCTTCCCAACAATAGCAAGGCCAGTGTCCCTGTACCAAGTTACTGGTGAGAACTAGCGATGGCCTCAGGTCATTGAGGTCACTGCTCTCAGAAGTACAGTGTTTGCTATCCAAAGGGGCTTGCAGAGCACAGGTCAAGGATGAGCAATAGAGGGAAACACAGGGACCTAACTCCTGGTCTGAAGGTTCAGCACTATCCTTTTCCACCACACGGTCGTTCACAGCTTTCCTGATGACCAGTGACATCAACTGACACGCTGGAGAAAAATCACCGCTGAACTTTAACATCCCTGGACAATGGAGGTGGTCACACATGTGCACTGAGTCCTGCAAGAGGGGGAGAGAGGGCAGGGTGCAGGCACCCAGGGGTCCCGAGTCCTCCATGAAAGTCACCACGAGTAGTTAGAGGAGTGGACATGGGCCGTTGGAGGGCATGGAGGGGAGGGAAGATGGGGCTGTGGGCTGTCAACAGGAAAAACTAACAATTTACGTGAAATAGTCTAAAAACAAGCAGACCAGAAAATTCACCATTTGACAGTTCAAGGACATTTAGTGCCTTCATTAGGATTGTACAGCTGTCTCCACTCTCCAATTCCATCAGCCAAACATCATTCCAGACCTAGGTGTAAGAAGCTGTGCTGCGATCCCAACGGCAAGTGTTCAAATCTACTACATAGTCCCATGGAGAATGATGGGCAATTTCCATCTGTGTGATTTAATGCCTCTGAAAGCCCCCTGAAGGGTCAGTTGTGAGTCAATTCTCACAGCCATTCCCACTTCCTCTCTCCCTCCACCTAGCCCTTGACAACCAACCATACAGTTTTCTTTCTATAGAATTTCATATTCTATCGTGGTAATGGGCACCCATGGTGGACAGTGCTGGCTGGAGCTTCCCAACTAAAGCCTGGGAGCAAGAACGGCATCCACTTCCGAAACGGCTTGCCTCCGGAAACTCTATGTACGAACAGTGCTCAGGCCGTTCGTGCATAGGGTCGCTATGAGTCGTCTATGACTCGACGGCATCAAACAAGAACAACAACATACACTTCATATAAACGAGATAATAAACTCTGAGATCTTCATGTCTGGTGTTCACGTAGCATATGGGAGTTAGCTCTGGTGGCCTAGTGCCAAGGGGCTGCGTTGCAATATTGAAAGCATATAGTTCAATTTGACCAGCTATTTTGCAAGAGAATGATAGGAAATTTCCTTCCTTTAGATAAACTGCCTCTGAATCTCCAAGATTGAGGAAAGACTCAGTAGCACCCTGCGTGGAATATGCAGATGATACAATCTACATGAATGTAAAGAGAACTAAGTTCATTTATTGATGAAAACAAAACACCACAGCCTTCAGTATAGATAACACCTCAACAAAAATCAATAAAGAAACAAAAAATCTCACATGGAGACCAATAAGAAGAACAATAATAAATGAAAAACATTCAAGCCCAAAATTTAAATCTTGTGAGGTGTTTGGCTATGACTAAGTATTATTAGTAGCTCTGTTCTCCATGCTGTTGTTGTTATGTGCTGTTGAGTTGCTTATGATTCATAGTGACCCTGTGTACAACAGCTCTGAATTTTGTTCTATCCTTAGCCAACCTTATTGTCTCTGATTCACCTATCCCCATTACCTCAATCACTGAATCAATCCATCACATCCAAGGTTTTTCTCTCTTGCACTGTCTCTCCACTTTCCCAAGCATGATGGCCTTTTCTAAGGATGGGTCCCAGCTTGCAATAGGTCCAAAGTATTTCAGAGCTTTAGAATCCTTGCGTCCAAGGAACATCGTGGTTCACCCATTCCAAGATGAACTCTTTGTTCTTTCTCCTCGCAGTCCATATACTCAATATTCTTCAGCACCATAGCTCAAAAAGGCATCAGCTCTCCTTCTATCATCCCTAGTCACTGTCCAGCTTTCTGGTGCATATCAAGCATTTCTGATGCTGTGGCCTGGATCAGGTGCACTTTATCTCCTGACTGCTATCATTGCTCTAAGAGTCCCCTGGAGAGATCTCTGACAGCTGACTTTCCTAATGCAATTCATCTTTTGATTTTTTGTCTGCTGGTACCAACAGTGTTGATTGTGGAGCCAAGGAAACTGAAGCTGTTAGCAATCTCAATCTCTTCACTGTCTATCAAGATGCTTTCAATCGGCCCAATGGTGAGCATCTTTGTTTTCTTGAGGTCGAGCTTCAATCCATAATGAAGGCTACAGTCCTTAATCTCCTACACCAAAGACCTCAGGTCCTCCTCAGCCTCAGCTGGAAGGATTGTGTCATCTGCATAAAACAGGTTGTTGGTGAGTCTTCCTCCAATCCTGATGCCACATACCTCCTCATAGAGATGAAGCTCTGAGTTGATCTTTTCCACCTGTAGAATGAAAAAGCTATGAATAGATAGGACACATCTGTGGCATTAGGTAATACCTAGAGATAATTTCTGTCATCACATTGAGTGCAGAGGGCTAAAGACATCTAGTGGGTAGAGACCTAAGATGTTTCTCAGTATCTTATAAGTCACATGACTGGGTCCATAACAGAGATTTATCTGAAAAAGAGTGATAAAACTTAATACAATATCATGTTTAGCTCACAGTATCTTTAGAAGGACTTAGGAAGCTCTGATAAGTGATTTTCTTTAGAGACAGTAAGTGAGGATATAGTAGAAATAAGTGGTATAAAATACATGGGAAAATGTGTGTTTTAGAGCTTTGTGGATTCTGCATTGTCCTGCTGTTGTTTCTACGTGCCAACCAGTGGACTCCAACTCATTTCTACCCTAAGATCAGCACCTTGACAAGGTAGTGTTACATTCACTGTGTCCATCCATCTCATTGGGTTCCTCTTTTACTGTCCTATGTATCCCAGCACGATGTCCTTTCCAAGGACTAATCTCTCCTGGAAGCCTGACACTAGCATGTGAGGTTGAGTGTGACCACCCTTGTCTCTCAGCTACACGTGTAGCTGATAGTCTGATCCAGAGACAGCTTGTTTGATCTGTTCATTTTGAGCTTCTTTATTCACTCTTTCCACTGATATAGTCAATCTGATTCCAATGTAGTTCTCAGGTGAAATTCTTGTGCCCCACTGCTGGTCTTGTTTTTTTGGTGTTTTGTTTTTTTGTTTTTTTAAAATAGGTATTGCAATGAATAAATAATTGATTAAACAATTTACTATCATTCTATCTCCAGCCTCAAGTCCATGTTTTCTTCATTTCACCTCAAATTATTGCATTTCAGCCACAAATTATTATTAGTGCATCAATATTACATGTTCCCCCCATTTTAGTCCATAAAAACTGATAGACCTTCAATGTCTTCATCTTTGGGGACTTACTGTTTTGTGTATATTTTAATAATATTTATAGTACTCCATCTGCCTTTTACATGTATGGATAGCATCCTACTTCTCACTGCACTGCACTTCAGGATAGTTTTTCAAATGCTCTTTTCCTTTGAAAATAATTTTTTGGCTGATAATTTATTGGGAATAAAAGGAGCCTCTTCAAGTTTCTGGTTTTGAACTCAATTCTCAGGATAGAAACACAAGGAATTGTGAAAATTATGGGAAGATTTTTGTTGTGGTTTAAGGGAAGAAAAAGAAATGAATTCATTAATTCTTACTCAGATGAGAGTAGCAGGAGACCAGCTGCTCAATCTCCGAACCACGGTACCAAGTGCTGCCTCAGACCAGTCTGACGTCGTTGAATCTCTTGCCTCTCATATAGGACTCATTCTCTGATCCTGGTTCTGTAGTCTTCACCAGCATCGTTAGGGATAGCCTTGCTATGGGCCCAGCCCTGGTTTAGAAAGGCAGAGGGGACCCTTGTGGTTCATATTAAATATAGTCAATAATGATGAACAGGATCTTTGATGTTCTTCCTCTTTAATTGTCATCATATAAAAGAAATACACAACTGTCTAAGACCAGCTTCTTTTTGTATCTCTGTGTACTGTGACTAAGGTCGGCTTTGAAACTCTGGTAATAATATAAGTAAGGTGG